CCCCCCTCCTAGAACTATGACAAGTTAGGCCGCCTAGGCATCAAACATTGCGAACAGTCCTGACACACCATCTTCTATTACTTTTATAGTTCTAGAAACATCTCTTGTTCAGATAAATAAAAGGCAGCTTACAAAACTGTTACAAAGAACCATCGTCTTAGCGCTATTAAGGATGAGAACTTTGATTTGACCTGTCGTATAGTAATCTGTTCCAAAGAAGCCATTCTGGTGGCAAAACACGCTAGGTTTTAGTTGTAAGGTGCTTTAAAAACCTACGTTGTATCATTCCATCTTTTAAAGAAACATTATCAAACATGATCCGTGATCCAAAGTTCATAATTTGGAAGTTAGTGGGAGCATGGTTGTGTGGCCATTACGCTTAGCAACCGCGTATCGTATGTGACCAGAACACCTTTCCAATAGACTACACGCCAACGTTTGGGCGTCTTTAACCAATTCCTACAAATTCATCCGTGTGCCAAAGGCTTTTGGGCTTTTTGAGCACTGCTTCTTCTTCTTCATCTTTCAAACGGACATCCCAGTCTCTAGTACGAAGGCTGATGTTCGCCACATGCCCTCCAGACTCCCGCAAAGTTTTAGTAGGTCTCCCTATCTGGGGTTGGGCCAATGTTTAGTTTTGACTGCCGGTGAGTGCTTTGAGAGGAAAACAATCTTATCAATGGAAGACTTGAAGAAAGGCTTCACTTGGCCACTTTTGTGCCATGATACGTGCGGTCTCAATCTTGAGCAGCAACTGATCTAAGAAAGAAGCCACGGCAGGCTAAAAGAGCAAGTCCTTCTGTTCTAGAAGCTACTGCAGTCGGGTGTGTTGGAAAATGTTTTGGCAATTTTTGTTTTTGAAGGAACTTCGTACGCCATGCAACACGCATAACTGATACGATATTTTTGCTTTGTATTTTCTAATTGCGTATTAGGCTTCCTCACACAGAGGCCTTGATGCTGAAGAGAGCAGGAAATTGTGTTCTCACAAAGCTGCAGGGTCGTTTTCATAATTGAAACTCAAGTCTTATAATTTCCCCCATTAACAGCTCCAATTATGGACCACTGAAATAAATGCAATGGCTTGTTATTTCGACCTTTAACTTGAATACTAGGAATTTTCCTTGATTTGTGATGGAAAATGTTGAAAATAAGCCCCGTTGTGAATGTTTAAACTTTCAATAGATTCAACTCTTCATTTTCTAAAATCAGAGATGATTTGGCTCGCCATTAAAAACACTGAGAACTTTGATCCTGATCTAAGCTAAGTTTTCACCCTTTGTCTCTGATCTGAGACATAGTCGCCCATTTTTCCAATGTCGCCACTCATTTCATTTTGTTAATTATCCTCCTTTGGTCCAGTATCTGATTTACAACTTTTACTGAAAAAAATGTGTGTGTGTGTGCGCGCGCGCGCGCGCGCGCGCGTGTGTGTGTGT